TTCTATTCTATTCTATTCTATTCTATTATATTATTATTCTATTCCATTCCATTCCATTTTCCCATTTCCTATTTATTTCCTCTATTCCTGTCCCATTCTTTTTCTGTTCTATTCTTTTTTTTTTTAATAAATGTTTTTTAATTTTAGTTTTAGTTTTTCTGTTCTATTCTCATTCTATATTCTATTCTCTACTTTTTCTCGTTCCATTCCATTCCCCACTTCTCAAAACAAGTGGAAGAAAGTCACACTTAAAACACGACTTCTATCCTGCGCCACCGGGGACTTTAGCAGTCCTTGGCCGCCAAGGACACCTCTCAAATAAGGACCCCGTTCAGATTACCGTAAATAAATAAATACATAAATAAAACCACAAGATTTTGGATTGGACTTGAGGGATGGGACTCGGTACCTGACGTTTGAGTGAAACCAGCTGTGAGTCCAGATGGCGCAAGGTGAGCATGGCTATGTCGGGGCTGGTCGACAGCCCGGTGATACCTTCTTGGCTCAGGTACATGCCCTTTGGAGGGCGCCGGCGAGCACGGAGAGGGTGGTGCCGATATTGAGGCAGCTGCACCTCCTTCTTCATTGGCCCAGGTTTGCTGCTGGGGGGCTTCGGGTAACTAGGCTGGGGGGGGGAGAGAGAGGAGCGAGGGATGAAACCAAGTGGGGGTCCCTCCGGGAATCCCCCCTCAAACCATTCCGGCTGTGGCGAATTGACGTCCATGCACTTCTGAACAGCTCATAAAATCCGGGTCACCGCACCCCCATGTGAGGATGCCAGGTAGAGCTTCTCTTTCCTGGACCACCTCTGGGTCATGATCCAATACAGGTAGCCCTCGATTGACGACCAAAATTCCGTTGCCAAGCGAGACCTCCGCGAAGCGAGTTTTGCTCCGTTTTTACGAAACGTTCTCGCCGCGACAGTTAGGTCATTTGTTAATGACCTAACTGCTGCTGGTTAAGTGAATCCAGCTTCCCACTTGCTGGTTGGAAAGTCGCAAAAGGGGATCACATGACCGCCCCCCCCGGGGCGGGGGAAACGGCGCGCCGACCATCATAAATACGAGTCGGTTGCCAATTTTGATCAGGTGACTGCGGGAGATGCTGCGAGGCTCGTGAAAGAGGGTCAGTTTCGGCAGTGCCGTTGTAACTTCCTACCGTCATTAAAACGGAAGGGTGTTAAGTCAAGGACTACCAGTCTTGGTACCCTGCTGGACCCCCCGGCTGCATGGTTGAGCCATCCCTGTCCCTTACCTCTTTCTTGGGATCCATGGCGTCAAATTCCCCTTCGCTGGCCTGGCGGGACTCTTCTAATTCATCATTGCTGTGGGGAAAACAGGGCAGTTTGAGGGGAGTCTCCTCCAGCCTTCCAAAACCTACCTATTCTAGACCCTGTTTCCATCTAATTGGGAGTTTATCCTAGTTCCGTGATCGAGAGCCTATGGCACCCGGAGCCCTCTCTGTGGGCACGCGAACCATCGCCTCAGCTCAGGTCCACGCGGATTGTGCGTGCGCCTCCCGCCAGCCAGCTGATTTTCGGGTCTCTGCATATGCGAGGGGCGGGGAGCATGCGGGAGATGCATGCACAGGGGGCGCGGGGGGCATACACACGTGGAGNCACCAAGGACACCACAGTTCTCTCCTCCTCCTCCTCCTCCTCCTCCTCCTCCTCCTCACAATCCCCACTCCCTTCTAGCACTAATGACGTTCCCTAGTTGGGTCAAGAGACGTCTGCAAGAAAACCACCAAGTTCAGAGAATATCAAGGATTCTACATTCCTCTTCTTCCTCCTCCTCCTTTTCATTCTCCTCCTCTTTCTCCTTTCCTCTTCTTCATCTTCTCCTTCTTCTTTTTATTCTCCTCCTCCTCTTCCTCTCTTTTTTTCCATGTGGGGGATGCTTTTAGAAAGTCTCTGATTTCATTGCACAAAATATGACCCTCCCAATTTCCAGTTATCCTTCTTGCAATCAGATTTTTGGCAACTAAACAGTATTTGGGGGGGGGGGGGAAACCAGTACAAGCAGCCCTCAACTTACAACGGTTCGCTTAGTGACCATTCAAAAGTTACAACAGCTCTGAAAAATGTGGTTAATGACCGTTTTTGATCACTTATGACCGATCCAAATTCAGATAACCTGGTAACCTGACTCGTATTTATGACGGTTGTAGCCTCCCCCGGGGTCAGGTTTCCCCTTTTGCGACATGGGAAAAGCCCGCTTAACAACCTTGTGACTAATGGAACAACTGCAGTAACTCACTGGCTGAAAAACAGGGTGAAAATTCACTGAACCATTGTCTCGCTTAGTAACAAATTTGGGGAATCCATTGTGATCATAACTCGAGGACTACCTCCAATCCCCCTCCGAGGGGCTGCTGTGCTTTTCCCCTCCATCCAAACCTGAAAACAGAGTGCAGATTTTCTTTCTCCCCCCCCCCCCAATTCCCTCTCTCCCCCCCCCTCACCGCGCGACCCCTGCCCTTAATTTGAGGGAGAACGCCCCACGCCCCAGAGGGAAGGATGCAAACAATGGCTGCAGAAGAGAAGCCGAAGAAAACATAAAGAAAGAAAACAAGAGCGGGGTGGAGGTGGGTGGGGGGAAATCCTGCCCCTTCCCCAAATGTTTTGAGGGGGGAAAAGACACTTTGATGTCAAAGGATCATGTGCTGTGAAATTGGGGAAGGGGCTAATCTTGAGAAAGAATTTTGATTTGTTTCCTGGTCAATTGGTTGGAATGGCATGCAGAGGTTTTTGGGGGGTGGGTTGTCATTTTGGGGAAGAAGAAAAAGAGAAAAATGCTTAGATTTAAAGGGGTTTCTTCCCCCCCCCAAATGGGGGTCTCCCCATTTGCAACTCCTCGGCTTTCATTTTTCCATGGAAAAACCAAGAAAGGAGGGGAGAAGAGGACAAATAGCAATAGCAATAGCAATATAGCAGTAGAC